ATTGTCAGCTGCTGTATTATCAACCAAATTGCTTCAGAAAAAAAAAAGAATTATAAAAAGAATTTCTTTAAAGGGACACTTCTCAAGGCTGGTAGAGCTAAAATTAGACTTGCCAGCTGTGTTTTGGTTCGTGGGCACGTGCTTGCACATGACAGGAACATGGAAATATCACGCTTTACTCTGGCAGTTTGCTGTTCTCGTAAGCAGCGGGTTTTGTTATGGATTCCTGTAACTGCCCCATAGCTGGTTAGTTCACGAGCAAAAGAAAGCAGCTGAGGGAAACAGGCAGTGCGGGAAGCTATACACGTGCTCAAAATACTGCCTATACATCTGCGTATACTAGACAGATAAACTGTGCTTTCATCACCAGGCGTTGATAATTATTGGCATTTAGGTACCAGTCCTGTGTCACACGGTAGGAACAAGGTGCCACTCTTACACAAGTATCTGCCCCGTGTTTCAGGAGAAAAACTTTTGCAAAATGAGTGCTCTGGTCCCAGAGCACTGGGCGGGTATTAACCTGGCGCTCTCACCCATCCAGAGGAGCACTGTGGAGCACTGCCACTGCCCCAGCTTCCAAACGTCCCAAAACGGATTCAGAAGAAAGGCCAGGTTGGGTAAACTACTGAGCATTTTCAATTCCCACTGAAGGCTAAGCTGGCCAGGACCGTGTGCTCCCTCGGAAGCTCAGACCACAGGTGAATGAAGAAAAAAGACGGAACGGGAGGAGAAGCCTGCAATTGCCGGCTCCCAGCCCTGTGGTTTATATTGCTGCTCAGCTTTAAATACGCTGCCTCCCATGGTGGTGTGTGATACTCCAGTGATACTCTTGCTTGCGCTCTTTTTTCTCCCCCCTCCCCCCCCCGCTTTCCCCGAGGGTGAAATAGGCTATTTGAGGGTTGGTATCTGCAGAAGTGAATAGTGATTACTTGACGGTAGGTGATGATACTTTGAGCCTGACAACTTTCAGATTGTTCTTTCAACTGCCAGAATTAAGTTGTTGTGCTTCTCTCCCCACCTTCTCACTTTTCCCTCAGGATATTAACGCAGTTTTTCTTTCTAAGCGGTTTGCTTGTAGAAGTGGATGTAACCAGATTTGGGGGAAGAAAGAACCTATGTGTACAGGGTGAAATAAAAAAGAAATACTAAGGAAGTAGAAAACTGCGCATTCTGACCAAGAGATCTACTGAACATGCAAGGTTTGCTGTGGCCATCATTTTAAGTCCAGGAAGGACCATTTTGGCTATGTCACCTGACTATTGTGAGTATTTCACGTCATGCCATAACATTTCAACGCAAGATTTCCACACCTCACCCATCACATCCACTGGCCAGTAGCGCCAGCAGTTCTCGCAACTAGGAAAAGGTCAGGAGCTGCAGGAGAAGCTGGACCGTGACCTGAGTGGTTAACAGTTCCACCTTCCTCCTGCTCTCTCGCAGCAAAAGTCTTAAATATGCAGATGGTTTGGATTTCCCGTTTCACCTGTAATCCTGATGTGGTGCTGAGCAAGTCTCTGCTGCTGAGCAAGTCTCTGCTGTTTGTTCCAAGTGCTCAGCACCTTGCACGATTGAGCTTTCAAAGATGCAAGATAGAGCGGAGGCAGTAAAAATAGGAATTCAATATAAAAGAGTGGGGGGCCAAGAGGAGAAGACAGGAGGCAATATAGCGTAGCAAAAATGCAAATGAACAGCCACAAAGCAGATTTAGATAGCACACGGCCTCTGAACAAATGCTAGCGCTGGAAAATGGAAAATTTCCATTTGCAAAATACAGACATCAAAAAGATCATCTGTGACTCGGGAGCACACTGTTTAAATAGAATCCCCTTCGTTTTCTGGCCTGTGCATTTGAATAACCGAATCCACTTGCAAACTGAAATAGCAGTTTGCCTACCGAGTGTTAAGTTTAAATGTTCCTCCAAAGAAAAGACAAGCTGTTCGATCCCAGTGAGCAACAGTGAGCAAACTTCACAACTTTTTTTTCCTCCTATTATCGAGCCCCAGCCAGGCCCACTCGCGGGAATCCAGCGAGCGAGCCGAACCCCAGCGCACCGCCGAAGGCGCTGCTGCCACCCGTGTCACCGAGCGGGAGATTCACAAGACAGCCGAGCAATAAGGATCACTTCAATGGGAAATTTAGAAATGAAATAAAACAAATGGGAACATATCAACTGTAAACCAGACAGCGAAATACATTCAAAGGTAGGCGCCAAAGGATATTAACTCGGCAACAACCAAAGCCGTGGATAAGAAACCCGGAGTTAACTGACAGGAGAAAAAAAAGAGAATGCTTCTCTTGGCAGCCTGAAGTACAGAAATTACATATGTTTGGATGTATTTTTACCTTTCATAAAATGCAGATTTTTCTTCATTCACAAAAAGTGAATTAAAAGACAAAAGTAGAAGCTTAGTAGGAGATCGTAATTCAGGGGCTCTTCTTTGCTAAAATACAGTTCTACATGTACTTTTTTCGTTTTCTATTTTTTAAATAAGCTTTTTACCTACCCTATGAAAGCCTTCTAAAGTCACAGGTATCAGAATCAAGGTGCAATTCAAACATTTTCTAGGTCCTTGCCCTTGAAAAGCAGCAATACGTATCCTAGAACTATTAAACTTTGACAAAATTATGTTAAAATTGCCTAAGTCAGGACTAGGGAAAATTTGCTTGCTGGGCGGTGGAAATACAGCTGCCACCACCTAAAGCAATAGAATAGGTTAAAGGAAAAAAAAAGAACAACAATTATCTTGAGCTTATATTTTTGACATTGTCTTTCTGCTTTTATTCTGTTTACTCATTAAAGCTGTTTCAAAGGAGACCATAGTGATGCTTGACAGCTTGTTTACAATGGGTTACAAGAAGAATACTGATTTTATTTCTAGATCTGTCAGCTCCTTCAGTCCAGGTACCTTAAAACTATATTGATGAACACAGAATCTTGCTATTTAATAGTTCATTAATCAAGCTGATTTGCCTAAGGATAGCTAACTGAATTTCTAACAAGCGATACATCCTGGTGCAACCATCAGTAAAAGCATGTGATAACCGTGGAGGAGGTAGGGGGAAAAAGACACAGAAGAACGAAACACTTAGCTTAACAATAACAGCATTAAGTGTCTGGGATCAACAAAACCTCTCTGCGGTGGGGGATGCCACCATTTTCACATGTCCTCCTCTCACGAGAGACCAGACACCACCGAGGGTGGCTTTCCCCACACACGCACACCTCCCGCCTGCATGAAAAATGGGCCAGCTTTGCCCTCCACACTTCAGCACTAACCATCGCAACACCACAAAGTCTAGAATTAGGCAGAGCTGCAGATGGCCCAGAGTA